CCAATTTAAAAATGGCCAAGGGATCTGAGTAGACCTTCCTCCAAATAGGATATGCAAATGACTAGCAAGCACGTGAAATGCTTGACAACATTAATTGTCAGAGAAATGCAAATAAAAACCATACTATTTCATACCAACTAGGAATGCTAGAATGAAAATGTCAGATAATATCAAGTGTTGGTGAGGAAGTGGAGAAATCTGAACTGTCTTACATGTTTCAACAGGAATGTTAAAGTGGTCCAGCTGCTCTGAAAAAAAATCTGGCAGTTCCTCAAATCATTAAACGTAGTTACGATGTGATTCAGCAATTTCATTTCTAGGCATCTGCCCAAGAGACTTGAAAACACGTTTACACAAAAACTTGTACACAAATATCCATAGCAGCATTATTCCAGATAACCAAAAGGTAGAAACAACCCAGCTATCTGTCAGCAGGCCAGTGGACTAACAAAATATGTCACATCTGTAAATAGAATACTGCTGGACCACAAAGGAAATAAGACTGATAGCTTCTACATGGTACGTACTACATAGGTGAACTTTCAAAACACTATGCTGGGTGAAAGAAGCCAGTGACAAAAGATCACACCCTATGTGATTCCATTCATGTGAAAGTCCAGAGTAGAGAAATCCAAAAGGGGGACAAGGTACATTAGAGGTTTCCTAGGGTAGAAGGGTGAGAGAATGGTGAAAAGGGTAGTTGGGCCCATAGCTAAAGGTTATGAGGTTTCTTTTTGAGGTGATGAAGATTTTCTAAAATCAGTTTGAATATGTCTTTGAATTGTATACTTAAAAAAATATTTGTTAGGCTAAGCCAGGTCTTAATACAGCATATGGGATCTAGTTTCTTGACCAGGTATTGAACCTGGGCCTCCTGCATTGGCAGCACAGCATTTTAGCCACTGGACCACCAGGGAAGTCCTGAATTGTATAGTTTTAATGGGTAAATGATGTTGTTGTTCAGCTGCTAAGTCATGTCCTACTTTTTGTGACCCCATGGATTGCAGCACTCCAGGCTTCCTTGTCCTTCACTATCTCCCAGAGTTTGCTCTAACTCATTCCATTGAGTCAGTGATGCCATCCACACATCTCATCCTCTGTTGCCCCCTTCTCCGCCTTCCCTCAATCTTTACCAGCATCAGGATCTTTTCCAGTGAGTCAGCTCTTCACATTAGGTGGCCAGAGTATTGGAACTTCAGTTTCAGCATCAGTCCTTCCCATGAATATATTCAGTGTTGATTTCCTTTAGGGTTGACTGGTTTGATCACCTTGCTGTCCAGGGGACTCTCAAGAATCTTCTCCAGCACCATAGTTTGAAAGCATCAATTCTGCAGCACGCAGCCTTTTTTATGATCTAGCTCTCATATCCGTACATGCCTACTTGGAAAAACCCATAGCTTTGACTATAAAGGACCTTTGTCAGCAAAGTAATGTCTCTGCTTTTTAATACACTGTCTAGGTTTATCATAGCTTTTCTTCTAAGGAGCAAGAGTCTTTGAATTTCATGGCTGTGGTCACCATCCTCAGTGGTTTTGGAGCCCAAGAAAATAAAGTCTCATTGCTTCCACTTTTTCCTGTCCTGTTTGCCATGAAGTGATGGAACCAGATGCCAGGATCTTAGTTTTTTGGATGTTGAGTTTTAAGCCAGCTTTTTCACTCTTCCTCTTTCACATTCATCAAGAGGCTCTTTAATTCCTATTCACTTTATGCCATCATCATCTGCATATCTAAGGTTCTTGATATTTCTCCCGGCAATCTTGCTTCCAGCTTGTGATTGATCCACCTCAGCATTTTGCATGATGCGTTCTGCTTGTAAGTTAAATAAGCGAGTTTACAATATACAGCCTTGTTGTAAATGATCTGGTATGTGATTTATATCTCAAAGCTGTTTAAGGAAAAGAACGCATAGTTTTTTTGTATACTTACGTTTTATTCCACTTAAGGTTTTTCAGTAGTTAAGGAACGTGGTAAAGATGATACATAGCTTTTATTTAGAAGTGATATGGTTGATTTATTACAGGGAAGAGAAGCAAGAGACTGTACAGTAATATAAAATGAAAGTGAAAAGTGTTAGTCAGTCATGTCTGACTCTTTGCAACCCCATAGCCTGCCAGACTCTGTCGATGGAATTCTCCAGGCAAGCAGACTAGAGTGGATAGCCATCCCCTTCGCCAGGGGATCTTCCAGACGCAGGGACTGAACCCGGGCCTCCTGCACTGCAGGCAGACGCTTTACTGTCTGAGCCAGCAGGGAAGCCCTGTAAGATACTGGGGCTGCAGACTGAGCGTGGCTGTGGGTTTGCAGTGGAAGAGATGTGTATATAGGAGGAGGAGAATGAAGGTGAGAAGTGAGCGAAATATAATTCGAACTCTGGTGTGGAGGGTAATGTTGATTGTGTGGAAGATTGTGAAATGGTAGTCAGGCTGTCCTGGAAATAAGGGGTGAAGTGGGGAAAAGAGCTTCAGTGTGATGTGTTTAGAAGCCATAGTTTAGAAGGCTTAAAGGAATTATTGGGGACTGCCTTATTTTTGGCTGTTTTAGAGTCCTTTATGCCTATTGGGTATTTAATAAATAGATATTGTTTAGTTGTGTGAGGATATGCATGAAGGGAAAATGGGGGGTTGGAGAATGGGGAGAAACGAGATTTGGCAGCAAAAGGAAGACAGGAAAACAACACAGTGAAAGGAAGACAGCACAGCAGGTGGAGAATGGCTGCCTGGGGAGAGCTGAGTTTGTTTATATGGATTTATATACACAGGTGGGAATGATACGAGTGTTCTGGGAGACTGATGGGAAGATGCTATCTTAATGCTCTTAGTCTTCATCAAAAAGAGGATGTGAAGTAAGCACTGGGTCTGAATGAGGTGATGACCTAGATGAATTTGTTAGGAGAGAAAAGGATGTGAGTAATGAGCACTGGTCTAGTTTTAACGAAAATAATTGTTGTTTGTCAGAGCTGTGTGGATCTTGTTTTCACTCTTTGTTTTCTGCTTGGTTCATATTCAGTAGCTGCAAGGTGAGAGAGTATGTGAAAATGAACAGGATGTTGACCCTGGGATTGCGGATTTCACATCCATATTCTACACAGTATGGATACTACTGGACCTTCTTAACTCTTTGCCCAGGCAGTAGACCACTTTGCAACTGTGTGCCTTTGCCCAGGTTTGTACTAACTAGAATTACAGAGAAGCGCAGGAAGGAGGATTTAGTGTTGCCTTTTTGGACAGTAACACAGATGTACTGATTGTTGAAATCAGAGTTCATTGGAGACCTAAAGTACATTCTAAGCAGAAAGAACTGCATTTTGCTAAGGCTCAGGTAAGACTTACCAGGGAAATTATAAACAGGTAAAAATGCTAAAGTGATAGGAGAGAAGGCTGTAAGAGTAAGCAAGAAACACTTGTTGTTGTTTTCTAGTTGCTAAATCTTGTCTAGCTCTTCTGGACCCCAGGGACTGTAGCCTGCCAGGCTCCTCTGTCCATGGGGTTTCCTTCTCCAGGGGGAGCTTCATGATCCAGGGGTCAAACCCATGTCTCCTGCATTAACAGGCAGATTCTTTACCACTGAGCCGCCTGGGTAGCTCAGGGAACGGTTAGGAAAAACTGTTTTATGCCCTGGAATTTGCACCTTAATCTGTAGAGAAAGAGGAATAATTAAAGGGCTTTAAAGATGAGAGTGTCGTTCTGCTTTGCAGTTTTAGGAAGAAGGACGTTGGCAGTTTCTGCCTCTTGATCTTCTGACTCTTGCCTGTCTTGAGCGTCTCTGTTCTCAGCCCCACCACAGACTGTCACGATTCCGTATCTTTCTTCATTTTGTTTCTGCCTAAAGTGGCAGAGTTGTGTTAACACTTTCCTTTACTACTTTTAGGCAGATTTAACTCACCTGCATTTCCTTGGTGTTTTGTTTATACTGCAAGAATAGCACACATATGTATTGTGTTTGAACTAGTTGTGAATGATTTTATTCTTACTAAGAACCTTGTGATTGAATTGAGGATGAGAAATACAAGCATATTCAGCCATATGTCTTTAGCGGCTAGTACATAATAGATGTCCGTTCAGTAATTGTTAAATAGAATTGAAAGATATACTATATCAAAAATGTTAATTTTCTGTAAACTAGTAAGTGCATAATGAAGTGAAAAATCTTTAAGAAAGTAAGGGATGAGAAAGAAACAAAAACACTAATTCAAAAAGATACGTGCACCGCAGTGTTCATAGCAGCAACATTTACAGTAATAGCCAGGACATGGATGCAACCTAAATGTCCATAGACAGAGGGATGTATAAAGAAGATGTGGTACAGATATACATGGAGTATTACTCAGCCATAAGAAGGATGAAATTTTGCCATTTGCAACAGTGCAAATTGACTAGGAGTATATTATGCTAAGTGAACTAAATCAGACAAGAGAAAATCAAATACTGTATGATATCACTTATATGTGGAATCTAAAAAATAAACTAGTGAATACAACAAAAAAGAAGCACACTCACAGACGTCTGGAACAAACTGGTGGTTACCAGTCGGGGGAGGAGAGATGGGCGGGGCAGGCTGGGGAGGGAGCTGTGAGATACACATTACTCTGTATAAAATGAACCGGGATGTGTCGTATGGCAGAGGCATACAGTCAGTAGTTTACAATAGGTGTATATAACCTTTAAAGATTGTGAATCACTGTATTGTACTTCTGTAACTTATATAATATTGTACATTAACTATACGTCAATAAAAAAATTTTTTTAAAGACACTATGTTAAAAAGATATAATGGGATAGATCCAATTGTTTCAGGAACTGTTTCCAGGGTTGATAGTAACAGATTGATACTTTTAAAAATTATGACTGAGTCAGGTGTTCACCTACCCAGGATATTATCCAGATCACATTTTCTGTCCAACTGCTGCTAAGCCTGGGCAGGAGAAGGTGCAGGGCTGCCCCTGCCTAGAAAAATCCTGTTGGAGGCTATGGTTCTGTGAACCAAAGGAGAAGGGACAGCGATGAGCTTGTCGGCCCTGAACTGGAAGCCCTTTGTGTACAGAGGCCTGACCTCCACCCTAGCTGAGTTCAGTAAGTTTCCAGTTGATTTAACCAAGACACGGCTCTAGATTCAAGACCAGAAGAATGATGCAGACTTTAAAGAAATCAAGTATTGAGCAATGTTGAATGCGTTAGTGAGGATAGGCAGAGAGGAATGCCTGAAAGCACTGTATTTGAGGAGTACCCTTCGATGTTACACCAGGCTTCATGTGGAACCATCAAGATAGGCACCTACCAGAGCTTGAAGCGGCTATTTGTCAAGTGCCCAGAAGATGAAACCCTTCTTATAAATGTGGGTCTGTGGAATTCTCTCTGGAGTCATATCCTCAACCATTTCCATTCCAGCTAATGTGTTGAAAATTCAGATGGCAGCACAAAACAACACCTTCAAGGAGGAATAATAGGCGACTTCATTAACGTTTACTAGCAAGAGGGAACCAGAAGACCGCGGAAGGGCGTGTCCCTCGTTGCTCAGAGGGCCACCGATGTTGGCTGCATGGAGCCGTGGGTTTACCGCCTCACTGAGAAGCATCTGATCTTCTCGTGCCTGATGGGAGACACTGTGTAACCCATTTCCTCTCAAGCTTCAGCGCTGGCTTGGCAGGGGCCCTGGCCTCAAACCCTGCCAGTCTGGTGAGAGCACGCACACTGAACTGGAATCCTTCAGGATGGCAGACACCCTGGTCTCACAGGCGCTCTGCAGTGCTTGCTACAGACATGGGAGGACGAGGGGCTTTTTGTTCTGTGTAAAGGGTTTTGGCTAAGTTGATTGAGACTTGGTCCTTGGAATATTATTTTCTTTGTGACATACAAGCAGTTGAAGGAATTGAATTTGTGACAAGACTGCATGAGACATCCTTCTGAAAATGCTCACTTCTGAAATAGCAGCGCTTCCAGTCTTTCCCACTGCTTTGCCCGCCACAGATGCTTAGGTGTCCACAAGTGAGGACTGTGTTATGTGAGTTGCTGTATCTTGGCCTTGGGTGCTCTGCTCCAAACATTTAATGGCATAAACTGTAACGTCCAGACACTAGTTCTTACTATCCAAGTACCCTTCCACATCAAATAAAACATGAAATGCACGTTTCTTGCTAAGGAAAACTTGCATGAATGTCAGGAACTGTGGGTCATTTCCTTTGCAGAGAGTAACTCCTGCATCTCAGATCATAGCGGAGACTCCCTGATGTTCTAAAGAAGCTCATCCAAACCATGGAATAGAGCCTCTGAGAAAGTGTCATTGTTCTGAACTTCTGGGCAGCTTTGGCTTGGTGTCTGCTGAAGAAGTTCACACATAGAGACATGGTATACCTCAGGTATAAACAATGCAGGATATGGATCCCTGGAACGTTGCAGTGCTTTGTAGTTTCTTATTTTGGCAGGGTCTTTCACTTATTAAAGTAAGTGATTTTTAAACCTTTACCACTTGAGGTTTGTGAGGAATTGTTGTGAAAGTGTTAATTTCTAAACTCAGGATGGTATAATATGTTAGCTTGGAAGGTGGCAAAGTCTGTGTTGGTGGGAGATGTTTTTGAGCAAGTTGGGTCCTTAAGTAATGTTCCTAATTTTAGATTTTAGCAAGTTTCTGTTTCCCAGTCTGTAAGATGAGGGTGATAACCTCTACTGATACTGAGAATAAAGTGAAGAAAACTTGACTTGTAGGATAACTGTGTTTACATCATGCTTTCATATAGCCATAATACAAAATAAATGGTCTGGTGTATTGAAGAGAATTATTTTATCATGAGCTGCTTCTGAGTGAGGTTCTTTGATAAAAGCCATGTGAAAGAAAGAGGTTAAGGTTTTATTATGTTTTCCTTAGCAAGAGGTTGCAAGTAAATCAAAGAGTTGATTTTTATAGATTTCCCAGGTTTCACTTTAGTTCTGGTCCTGTTTATTAAAGTATTTCTTGTCTTGGACTTCCTAAGTGGTTTGGATGGAAAATGATTGCTTGAAATCTCAAAAGCGATTTTTCATGTACCTAGAGTTTGAGAAGAGGTACGTAGTGTCTTCCTTCTTGTTTTTCTGAAGACAGGATGTCATTCTTCTTTGCTGTGTTCATCTTACTCTTTTTAAAATAGTGACTTTGAGCTCCCCATGACCTTTACACTTCAAGAAGACATCCCCAGAAAAGGAAATATTTAATATTTACATGGGTACCTTTGTTTCTACCCTTTGAGAGTAACTTAAATACATACTCGCTGGGGCTCTAGGACAGACACTTCTGCAGTAAATGCAGGTTCCCAGTCGGTCGAGTCCCTGGGCTGCTTCCTCCCTAGAAGTGACATAGAAGCCACACAGGTTTTTCTGGGGGATTGGACAATTTTCCTCCCAATCACCTTCACCTTGTCTTCTTTGTTAATGCTGACTTTGAAAACAAGATTTTTGTGAAGCAGAATTTTAGTTCCAAAAGTAAGATATAAGGCACGAAAGGAGGTTGGAGGAGCAGGTGAGTGTTGATTGCTTCAAGACTCAGGTGGAAGTCCAGTCAGTTCTCCCTGACCAGCTCCAAATGTGATGCTGAAGAGCTGAGCCCTTTCAGGCCTCATCCCTTGTAATGAATCATATCTTTACAGAGGAATTTTTTTTTCTTCTTACCAGAACAGTTCCACTGAGCTGGTAATGGTTTTCTATTAGAAAGGCTTTCACTTTTGCGTTCCTTGAGTTTAAAGGATGACTATTTTATGAGATTTTTTTATGAGCCACTCTTTTTTTTCTTTTAATGTAGAAGACATTTTAAGTGTACATATAATCCCTAGGACAGTAGAAGCAAGTTAATTTTGAAGACCATGTAAAGGTTGAATACCATTCAATATTCATTGTATCAGTTTGTTCAAATATGTACATGTTTGTGTGTGTATGTATTTGCTCAGTTGTGTCTGACTCTTTGCGACCCCAGGGATTGTAGCCTGCCAGGTTCCTCTGTCCATGTTCACACCAGAATGAAAAGAAAGCCAAGCCTCATTGTAAAAGCACATTTTTAAGATAAAAATATAGTATTTCTTTAGTGCAGATTTATTAAATACCTTATGGAACAGTCTTGTTTTGATTTTTTTCTTCTTTTTTTGCTGCTTCCTGAAAATGTAATGTAGTTGTTGAAGTTTCTGACCCAAGAAAGAAGTTGAAGAACTGGGAGACTCGGTCCCCTTGTTTCCAGGGCTGTGACTACAAGTCCCCGCCTCCCCCCATTCCCTTGGGCAAATGTGGCAAAGGGAATTTTACCTTTTATAATCAAAATGAAGAAAGTGGATTTTTTTTGTTTGCTTGTGGATTTGTTTAATCATTGATGCTAAGTATTGCCTGATTGAGATATAAAAAAAGTTTCTGTTCTCAGTATTTGTTCATGTGTTGGAAATAGTGTATGTTATATAAAAACTATAAAAGTTTTCATAAGCCTTTATATTTCAAGATCTTCATTTAAACATAGTTGGAATGTGTGGCATAAACCTTGTATCATTATTTAATAAACTGGAATAATATTTAAAAGAAGACCACATTTCTAACTCATCAGTGATACATTTTTTCCTGGATTAGAATCAGAACTAGAACTTCTAGAACTAACACGAAAAAAAGATGTCCTTTTCCCAGGACCCGTGATGCTGAGGCAGCTGCAAGGAGCGACGAACTGTCGGGGTTGAGCCCCAAGTGAGCTGAGGGCTCACGCTCTTCTGGCCCTATCCTCCGGGCCCGCCCCACTTGAAGAAATGAGTAGTGGATTGGCCCCAAGTAAAAGCACAGTGTGTGTATCCAATCTGCCCTTTTCCCTGACCAACAGTGACTTATATCGGATATTTTCCAAGTATGGCAAAGTTGTAAAGGTTACTATAATGAAAGATAAAGATACCAGGAGGAGTAAAGGGGTTGCATTTATTTTATTTTTGGATAAAGACTCTGCACAAAACTGTACCAGGGCAATAAACAACAAACAGTTATTTGGTAGAGTGATAAAAGCAAGCATTGCTATCGACAGTGGAAGAGCAGCTGAGTTCATCCTAAGACGAAACTACTTTGATAAATCTAAGTGTTATGAATGTGGGGAAAGTGGACACTTAAGTTATGAAACTACTTTGATAAATCTAAGTGTTATGAATGTGATCATGACCTAAGTTCAAGATTTATAAAACTACAGTCATCAAAACAGTGTGTTGTTGGCAAAAAAAATAATAGAGACAGGTAGATTAGTGGGACAGAAAGGAGAGTCCAGAAATAGACCCAGATAAATATAGGCAGCCAGTCTTTGTCACAGAACAAAGGCAATGCAATGGAGAAAAAACAGTCTTTACAACAAGTTGTGCTGGAATGACAACATACACATGCAAATATACCACTCTGGTTCAGGACTTTAATAGAGGCAGGGAGTATGTGAGAACTGTCTGTATCTTCTGCTCAATTTTGCTATAAAACTGCTCTAGAAATAAAATCTTAGTAATGAAAGGTCTATTAAAAATCCATGAATTTTAAAAAAAACACCTTTTAAGATTTCTAAGCAGGGAAGTTGATTAGGTAACTTGAAAACTGCCCTTTCTGAACACCTTTACCAGTCCAAAGTTTTCACGCATTTCAAAGTCCATAATTGACCTCATTGTGGAATGTCTGCAAACAAATGTTTGCAAGCAAGTCAGGGTAAGCATCAGTGGACGCTGGTTTCACAGAAGGTGCTGGAAGGACTACGGCAATGTATATGAACATGTTAGTTGCTCAGTTGTGTCTGACTCTGTAACCCCATCGACTGTAGCCTGCCAGGCTCCTCTGTCCATGGAATTCTCAGGCAAGAATACTGGAGTGGGTAGCTGTTCCCTTTTCCAGGGGATCTTGCCAACTCAGGGATCAAACCTGAGTTTCCTACATTGTAGGCAAATTTTTACTATTTGAGCCACCAGCGAAGCCCATGTATATGTATACATGTATGTATATGGGCTCCCCTGGTGGCTCAGCTGGTAAAGAATACACCCGCAATGCAGGAGACCTGGGTTCAGTCCCTGAGTTGGACAGATCCCCTGGAGAAGGGAATAGCTACCCACTCCACTATTCTGGTCTGGAGAATTCCATGGACTGTATAGTCCATGGGGTCACAAAGTGTCCGACAGGACTGAGCGACTTTCACACTTCAAGCTAATTACCTCTAGCTAGGTTCATCATGCCCGAACCTATCACTGACTGTGGCTCCATCCCAGCTTAGTAGCCCCACATCTAATGCATGTATGAGTGCAGCCTAATAACGTTGTTTAATGGAAGCAAATAGTTTGCTATGGAAAAATAGAGTTCTGGAATTAGTGAAAAATAGTAAAGTTGAAACAATTTAATGAATTTTAGTGCTAACTTGGCTCCCACTTCTTTTCTTCAGGTTTTCCTGCATCAGTGCAAAGGTGATACTTTGCTCTTCCACCTGCTTGTTGAGGGCAGATTGCATTTCCCAGAGTGAACCACAACCACATCTTTCACCCCCCCATTCTCTTCTGTAGTGTGACCACCACCACTTCCCATCAAGAAAGGAAACCTAATTCCTGTCCATTTGGATTGGGGTTGGCTTTTGGGAATTACTTGCAATGAATAAAATGGTTCTAATGTTTTCTATAATAAATAGTAGGAAACCGCAATAGATTTTTTTTTAGATTTTGAAAAAGATTTATTATAACAAATTGACCATAAGATAATGTCTAGATTCTGAGACATTGCTATTAATAGTAAGATTTATCTCAAAGAATAAATCAGCAAAAGTAATATCTTAAATGCAAATACAAATGAGAACATTTATCAAATACCAGCTAAGTAATCATTTTATTTATTATGGTAAAATATACATAAAGTACACCATTTTAACATATTTAAAAGTACAGGTCACACCTCCCAGAATATTGGCAATAAAAGCAAAAATAAACAAATGGGACCTAATTAAACTTAAAAGCTTTTGCACAACAAAGGAAACTATAAGCAAAGTGAAAAGACAGCCTTCAGAATGGGAGAAAATAATAGCAAACGAAGAAACAGACAAAAGATTAATCTCAAAAATATACAAGCAACTCCTGAAGCTCAACTCCAGAAAAATAAATGACCCAATCAAAAAATGGGCCAAAGAACTAAACAGACATTTCTCCAAAGAAGACATACAGATGGCTAACAAACACATGAAAAGATGCTCAACATCACTCATTATCAGAGAAATGCAAATCAAAACCACAATGAGGTACCATTACACGCCAGTCAGGATGGCTGCTATCCAAAAGTCTACAAGCAATAAATGCTGGAGAGGGTGTGGAGAAAAGGGAACCCTCTTACACTGTTGGTGGGAATGCAAATTAGTACAGCCACTATGGAAAACAGTGTGGAGATTTCTTAAAAAGCTGGAAATAGAACTGCCATATGACCCAGCAATCCCACTTCTGGGCATACACACCGAGGAAACCAGATCTGAAAGAGACACGTGCACCCCAATGTTCATCGCAGCACTGTTTATAATAGCCAGGACATGGAAGCAACCTAGATGCCCATCAGCAGACGAATGGATGAGGAAGCTGTGGTACATATACACCATGGAATATTACTCAGCCATTAAAAAGAATTCATTTGAATCAGTTCTAATGAGATGGATGAAACTGGAGCCCATTATACAGAGTGAAGTAAGCCAGAAAGATAAAGACCATTACAGTATACTAACACATATATATGGAATTTAGAAAGATGGTAACGATAACCCTATATGCAAAACAGAAAAAGAGACACAGATGTACAGAACAGACTTTTGGACTCTGTGGGAGAAGGCGAGGGTGGGATGTTCTGAGAGAATAGCATTGAAACAAGTATACTATCAAGGGTGAAACAGATCACCAGCCCAGGTTGGATGCATGAGACAAGTGCTCAGGGCTGGTGCACTGGGAAGACCCAGAGGGATGGGATGGGGAGGGAGGTGGGAGGGGGGATCGGGATGGGGAACACATGTAAATCCATGGCTGATTCATGTCAATGTATGGCAAAAACCACTACAATATTGTAAAGTAATTAGCCTCCAACTAATAAATGAAAAAAAAATGTACAGGTCAGTGGCATTAAGCACAATGACAACTTTGTACAATCATCACCATTATCTATTTCTAGAACTTTTAAAAAAATTCGCTATATTAACAAAAATTTTCCCACAAGGCCCTTTAGTAGTTCATGGGCTGGTGAAACCGAAAGTGCAGTGTTGTGGCCACTGCCAGGAGTGATTGTCACCTTCACCTGTGCCAGTCCTCATGAACAGAAGAGTGGATTACTTGGTTACTGAGGAAGAGATCAATCTCACTAGAGGACCATCAGGCCTGGGCTTCAGCATCATCGGTGGGACAGATCAGCAGTCAGCCACGTCAAAGAGAACAGGGCTGTGGCCCTGGATGGGTGGCTGCAGGAGGGTGATAAGATCTGCTCAGTCAACTGCCAAGACCTAAAGAATCTGCTGCACCAGGATGCCATAGATCTTTTCTGTAATGCAGGCTATGCTGTGTCCCTGAGAGTGCAGCACAGGTTACAGGTGCAGAACGGGCCCATAGGACTTCAAAGTGAATGGGAGCCAAGTGGTATTACCAGAACTGTGGTGCTGGTGCCTTTGTTTACCCTCACCATGGTAGCAATCTGGGTCTTCACGAGATACCAGCAATAACTTTTAAAAACTTGCTTTCTTCCAGTGTTCCCAAAGAAGATGCATTTCTCTCTTTCTCTTACCCTCCTCTCCTGCCAGTCTCCCATAACTTTCTCTCTACATGGCCAGCTCATGATTTAAAGAGACTGCTACCCAATGAGAATCTTGCTATTCAAAATCTCTGAATCCTCATATTCTTATGGGAGAGTAAAGGCATTGTTTGAAGGAAACCTGAAAGGACTTGCCTAGAAAAGAGAGTTATATATTTTACTAGGACCGCCAATAAAAGTTCAGCTACAACCTCAAAAATGGGAAAGATCCAGTCTTCCCATCACCCTGCAGTATTCCTTTTTTTCTTACCTGGCATGCGTCAAAGGTCAGCTGTGATAAGAGGAAAAAAGGATTTTTCTCTTAAAAAAAAAATTTCCCACAAGGAAAGCACCAGATTGATTCACTGTAGTATTTTATCAAACCTTTTAGGAAAAACAACACAAATCTTTTAATTAAAACTTTAAAAACTCATTTATTAAAAAGAAAAAATGGAACATTTGCCAACTTACTTTATCTGCCTATCATAAATCTGATGTTAAAACCAGACAAACACATTACAGAAAATAAAATTGCAAACCAATATTCTACATGTACATAAGTACAAAAATCCATAATAAAGTAATGGCAAATCAAATTTAGAAAATAAAAATGTTTTACTACATCATGAGAAAGAAGAGATGTCCATCCTAGGAATATAAGGTTAGTTTAACACTTTTAGAAACAATCATTATAGATTGAAATAAAAAATTTGGTTAGCTTTTTAAAAATTATTGAAGTATAGTTGCTGTACAATACTATACATTATAGGCATACAATATAGTGATTTGCAAATTTCAAGGGTTACACTTTTTGTAGTTATATTGGCTATATTCTCCATATGTCCTTTTAGTTTATTTTATATCTAATAGTTTGTACCTCTAAATTCCCCAGCTTTATAGTTAATGTATCATTAGTGCTGAAAGGAAATAGTACATGTAATGGAGAGGCTTAAAAAATCAAAAATTGCAGATTTTGTGAATGAGAGGTAGGAAAGATATGAATCCATCCCAATCTCAAGCTTCGGGAAGTAAATACGGCCAAAACCATTACCGGGTTGTTTGTTTCCTAAGTCCAAGAACTCAGACCAGCCTTTGACTTACAGATCATACCCTGGGTGTGTATAAGACTTTGCCAACAAACAACCCAACCAGTTACTAACACGGAGTAACCAAGATGGAACAACTGGAAATCACTATTCTTGTTCTTGTGATTTGTATCACTTGCCTGGTTTTTCTTTTCATGTGGAAGAAAGGTCACAAAGGTTTGGGAAAGCTCCCTCCTGGTCCAACTCCCCTTCCCATCATTGGGAATCTGATGCAACTAAACCTCAAGGACATCCCTGCATCTCTCTCCAAGGTAAGGGGGTTTCATTAGGGGCTAGTCATCTCCAGGTAAAGGGGAGTCACCTTCAGATTATCTTTTTGTCATCTTTAAGTTTTCTTATTTATTGTTTTACTCACTGCTAAGGCACTTTGGTGTATCTATTTCTGTATTACACGACAGAAATTCTTCCTGCCCCCCTTTATTTTTTTCTGAATTGGATCACTTTAGAGGTGATAGTGAAGTGAGTTAACCTGACCTGAGATACAGATTGAATTCTAGTGAATGGGAAAATTCTAAAGTCAGAACATATTTTAACTGAAAGTCTTCCAATCCTTTCTGCATATAACACTAACCAAAGACAAGCAAATGTAAAAAAAAAAAAATGTAAACAATGTCCTTTTATATTATTATTACTATTTCAGACTAATCTATGGGATAATTTTTGATCCTCCTTTTGAAGAGTGATCCTCACACCTTGCTCTAACACAACTCAACTCTGCTCCCTGACTGACATTCACTCCTTTGAGTTCACTGTGCAAGTATACATTCTCCCCAAATCCCTAATTACTGTCGTCTGACCAGTGATAAAGAAAGTAGGATGTGCATGCACACACACACAGAGGAGTATTATTTCTCTTTAAAGAAGGAGGAAATCCTGTCACTGACAACAACATGGATGAACCTGGAGGATATTATCCTAAATTATAGAAGCCAGACACAGAAGGACAAATACTGTATGAACTCACTTACATGGGGACTCTAAAAGAGTCATACCCATAGAAGTAGGAACTAGAATGGTGGTTGCCAGGGACTGGGGGAGGAGGAAAAATAGGGTGATGTTCAATATTGCTGTAAAAAAGGAAAGTCAAGTTGCCATAGCTAAAAGGGAATGGAATCCAGTGCATAAGCTGGAGAATTGGGCCTTTTGAGGGGCATGGAGAGTCATTTATATTAACAGAAAACTATGTATATGGGTACAGATTCAAGTGAACAAGAAGCTATGGTAGAAGCACATGGACATTCTCTTCTATTATTTCTATTATTTCTGTGAAATAGGAAGCAACATCATCAGCTGAGGGTAAGGTTAGGAGAGGAGGGCCTGATATTTTGTGCCCTAAAATACAGAGAGACACTCCTTCAGAGGAACCAAGGAAGTAGTTTCATTTTCCTTGGACAGAGAAAACAGAAAGTGGCAAAATTCTCTACCATTTATGTGTAAGTTTTAAAAAGTGTAGGAAAGGCAGAAAGAAAAAAGAGGTGGCAAGTTCAATAAGTTTTGCCATTTAAGAATTTTATTTTTAAAAATGGAGGATTATAATATGCATATGGGTCTTTAAATGTGATTTTTTTTTCAACTATTTAATTTAGAACATGAACATGTTTCCGAACCATCATCATACATCTTCACAAAAGTACTTTCAAATGGCTACTTTAAATTCACATGCATGGATGTAAAATACATTTGAAAACCAATCCCTAGCTGGCAGCTGTTTTAGTATTCTATTTTTCCCCTTGACACAATGCTATCATAAATATATAGATTTCATTCTTTTTAATACCTATTAAGTAATCTCTCTTTCTCTTATCATTGCTGCTTCCTTCTCATCTTTAGTTTTATCTTAAATGTTACCTCCTCATAGAATTCTCATCTATTTTATTAAGTTTTCCCATTATCATCTAGCATAAGTACATTCTTTATCACTTTCATAGAATCATGTGCAGCTTGTATTGCAAATGTAGTTTGTTTTACTGCCTGTTACTTCCACTAGACTCTAAGTTCCATGGAGTTCCTGGCACAATGTCTGACAATATAAGTGCTTAGTGAATATTTATATTGCTCAATGGTTGCATGTATAGATGAAGGAAAGAATGAATCCATGACTGTAGCCCAAGTTAAATTACTGAAAGGAACTTAATGGAGCAAGGTCTAAGCTACGGGTGAATCATTACTTAATTCCCACTGAAGCCTCCAATGGAGAGATTTCACAGTAGCCCTTATAGTTGTTTGTATCTCTTTATAGTTGGCCAAACAATATGGCCCTGTTTACACTCTGTACCTTGGATCCCAGACCACTGTGGTCTTACATGGATATGAGGCGGTGAAAGAAGCTCTAATTGATCAAGGTGATGAATTCCTTGGCAGAGGACCTATTCCTATTATTGACGATACCCAGAGAGGATATGGTATGTTTCAAAATACAAGTTAATTCTTTTTAGCAAAAAAGTGTGATTAACCTAATGAGTATCTGCTTTGCAACAAGCGATAAATTAGATGCTGCAATACTGTAGTGCAATTCAGATACTAACTACTCAGAATTAGTTCATACTCCATATGTTAAGTACGTGTGTGTGTGTGTGTGTGTGTGTGTACACACGTGCGTGCTAAGTTGCTTCAGTCATGTCCCATTCTTTGTGACCCTATAGATTGTGGCCCGCCAGACTTCTCTGTTCATGGAAGATTCTCCAGCCAAGATTACTGGAGTGGGTTGCCATGCCCTTCTCCAGGGGATCTTCCTGGCACAGGGATCAAACCCAGGTCTCTTATGTCTCCTACAATGGCAGGCAGTTTCTTTACCACTAGTGACCACCTGGTAAGCCCTCCGTTAAGGGCATCATTCTTCAAAAGACTACCCTCACTTCTGATGTCAGCTGCAAGTTCAGGGGTCTCCAATTACCTGCACTTAAAACCAGCTGGCTAAAAATTCAGAGTTTCCATGATCACCTCAGGTTCAATAATTTACTGGAATGACTCACAGAACTCAGGAAGATGCCATACTTACAATCACAATTCTGTTACATATGAAAGCTACAAATGGAGAGACATGTTGGACAAGGTTTAGGAATGCCTCAAATGCAGAGCTTCTATATTCTCTTGAAAGGAATCAGAATGTGTTACCCATTCAATGTGTTGGTATGTTCATCAACCCAGAATCTCATCGGAGCTTTGGTGTCTGGAGGTTTTCACTGGAACTTCATTACTTGAGCACAGTTGATTGATTGATTGGCCGTCTGATAGAACTCAGTCTCTAGCTCCTTCCATTCCTTAAAAGTCCTAAGGTCTGGCTGATATCACTTGGGTGGAAGCTTCAGTTCTCTGAATACAAAGTTCATCTTTCTGGCATGGCCAACTCCATCTTGACACTGTTTAGGAATCTACCATGAGTCACTTTATTATCATAAATTTAAGTGTGATCCCAGAGGCTCAGCATGAATAACAAACTTCTGTGTTAGAAGTGGGAAAAGCCAAGGATTTAGAAGCTGTCTCCCATGAATGGGAACAAGAAACAGACAATTTTTTTTTTATTGTACAACAGATACTCTGATAATTCTATTGAGATAAACATCAAAAACAGACTCCAAGTTCCCTTTAAGGTAAATCTGCAAATATGATTGTGATTTAAAAAAAAGCAATCTGGGAAATATTTTGAAAATAAAAGTTGTTACCTAAAGGTCTTAGGATTTAGAGAGCCATGTTTGGGGTGTCATTTCACAGGGTACAAAGATTGCATGGCATAGTGGCAGCAACAACAGACAACTAGGTACAGAAATTACTGTGTTTTCAATGTCAGCTCTTGGTTTGGGGCTGGTGGGGGGTGGAGAGTTGGGAGTGAGGAGGCAGAGAGAGGGTGGTAAGATCAGACAGGTAACACACAGGGAGCCACAATGGTACTTAGTCAAGCTCAAGTTCTTCAGTGGGACAACAGGCTCACAGATAATTATTTTCTTACTATGTTTCAAAATGTAGACATATGTTATATATATATTCCTTTATATATATGAAGTATTGCACAATTAAAAAAACTTAGGACAGCCTGAAAATCTCCTCTAATCCATTTAAAATGGTAAAATTGCAACAAGCCCCAAAGAAATAGAAACTTCCTTTCAAAGCATATTTATGAATAATTAATTAAATATTATGCAGTGTACTAAGTGATGAAAGAAACAATTTTTAATCACTCTTACATAAGATGTACATGCTTACCTAAAGAAGCAACAAAATCTTCTCTCTAGTTCTTCCCTTTTTTAAAAAAACAAGTTGATTACATTGGCTGTGTGTGAGCTTTGGAATTAATTATTTGTTTATATTTGTATCTGCTAAAACTTCATTGCTCTACAGGCTTCTCCCTAGCTGCAGCGAGAGGGGGCTACTCTGTAGTTGCGGTGTGTGGGCGTCTCATAGCAGTGGCTTCTCTTGTTGTGGAGCACGGGCCCTAGTGCACACGGGCTTCTGTAGATGCAGCATGTGGCCTCAGTAGTTGCAGGTCCTGGTCTCTAGGGCACAGGCTCAATACTTGTCGTGCATGGGATTTTTTGCTCTGTGGCATGTGGGATATATCCCTGCTAGGGATTGAACCCATGTCTCCAGCATTGGCAGGCAGACTCTTTACCACTGCCACCAGGGAAACCCTGAAATTAATTTTTAACTGGAGCAGAAGGTATTAGGCTGGATTGAGCTCAGTTCAGTTCAGTTCAGTCACTCAGTCGTGTCCGACTCTTTTCAACTCCATGAACCACAGCATGCCAGTTCCTCCCTGTCCATCACCAACTCCCGGAGTTTACCCATTGAGTCCATTGAGTCAGTGATGCCATCCAACCATCTCATCATCTGTCGTCTCCTTCTCCTCCTGCCCTCAATCTTTCCCAGCATCAGAGTCTTTTCAAATGAGTCAGCTCTAAGCATCAGGTGGTCAAAGTATTGGAGTTTCAGCTTCAACATCAGTCCTTCCAAAGAACGCCCAGGACTGATCTCCTTTAGGATGGACTGGTTGGATCTCCTTGCAGTCCAAGGGACTCTCAAGAGTCTTCTCCAACACCACAGTTCAAAAGCATCAATTCTTCGGTGCTCAGCTTTCTTTATAGTCCAACTCTCACATCCATACATGACTACTGGAAAAACCATAGCCTTGACTAGATGGACCTTTGTTGGCAAAGTAATGTCTCTGCTTTTTAATATGCTGTCTAGGTTGGTCATAACTTTCCTTCCAAGGAGTAAGCGTCTTTTAATTTCATGGCTGCAATCACCATCTGCAGTGATTTTGGAGCCCAGAAAAATAAAGTCAGCCACTGTTTCCACTGTTTCCCCATCTATTTGCCATGAAGTGATGGGACCAGATGCCATGATCTTAGTTTTCTGAATGTTGAGCTTTAAGCCAACTTTTTCACTCTCCTCTTTCACTTTCATCAAGAGGCTCTTTAGTTCTTCTTCACTTTCTGCCATAAGGGTGGTGTCATCTGCATATCTGAGGTTATTGATATTTCTCCCGGCAATCTTGATTCCAGCTTGTGCTTCTTCCAGCCCAGCGTTTCTCATGATGTACTCTGCATATAAGTTAAATAAGCAGGGTGACAATATACAGCCTTGACATACTCCTTTTCCTATTTGGAACCAGTCTGTTGTTCCATGTCCAGTTCTAACTGTTGCTTCCTGACCTGCATACAGGTTTCTCAAGAGGCAGGTCAGGTGGTCTGGTATTCCCATCTGTTTGAGAATTTTCCACAGTTTATTGTGATACACACAGTCAAAGGCTTTGGCATAGTCAATAAAGCAGAAATAGATGTTTTTCTGGAACTCTCTTGCTTTTTTGATGATTCAGTGGATGTTTTGCAATTTGATCTCTGGTTCCTGTGCCTTTTCTAAAACCAGCTTGAACATTTGAAAGTTATTTGATATGTATCAAATAACTCATCAGTTGACATAAACAACATAAGCAACAGTTTAGTTGACATAAACAATAGTTTATCATCCTAGATCATCCCTGATCTCCACCCTGAATGCCTTTCAAGGACTGAAGTGGCTAATGATCTAACCTTTGTAGAGCAGGATGGTGAGCAAAATGCCTTTGTTGGCACAGGAAAGCAATGAAAATTTATTAAATAAATAGAAGAACAAATGAAGCACAAAAGATACAGCAATATTTGAAAGTCTAATTAAGGATTAAATAAATAATTTTGCCACATTTATGATTGCCTTTTGATTTAAAGATGATGTAAAAACAGTTAAAAATTTGAAGAGATGAAAATATTCCTAAATTTCAATGATAATAATAATGTTACTATCTAATTATTATAAAAGTTAGACATTATAGTAATTGGATTATTATTGACTTGAATTATTATTCTAATAACTATAATTATATAATAGCTAACATTTATTAAATACTTCTTGTGTGCCAGATACCATGCTAGGGGTTTCATATGTATTACCATATTCAGTTACCACAATGGCCCTATGAGGAGGATATTTTTTATTTCCTTTCAACAGATGAAAAGCTGAGGCAACAGAAGTTAATTGCTCATCCAAATTAGAAGCTTTTGGAGCAGATTTGAATTCAGTTTGCCTAACTCTAGAGCCCAGAACCAATAACCATAGTCCGTAGTCTTAATACACTAATCTGTGTTTTAATTTTTTGGTTTTTTTTGGTTCAGAGTTAGAGCCAGTGGGAGACTGATGGAAAGTTTTGAGGAGTTTAAAGATATTGAAGGAGGAAACAGACAGAGCGGACTCCATTTTAGGCCAGGCTGGGAACATTAGGCTACATGCATGGTCACCCTCCCATTGTACTCTGAACTTTGTGCCCGGTGTCTATAGAAATGGCATACCAATGGGAAACCAGACCCCCCGGATAAAAGAGCTTCAGGACTTGTACTTGGACTCTCCGTTGCCTAAAAGAATACGCTAATTATCTCTGTAACAGAACAAAGTAGTAAATTCCATTATGTTTATTGGGATATGACCAAAGTCCTATTGATAAATGTCCACTGTTTATCTAGTCTTGTGACACATTAATCATGGGTTAACTTTGATCGTATCTCTTTTTTACCTTGTTCAGACTAGTTTCAAGGAATTTGGGGAGGTGGGTTTGAGCAGGTACACTTAGGGTATATAAGGTTTTGACAAAAACTGGTCAGGGTCCTTGGCTAAGAGGAGACTCTGCCTTGGACCTACCGATGTAATAAACTGCACTCCACTATCTGCATTGTCCTTCTGAGTGAGTTTGTTTCCCCGGAACGCGTGGTTACAACAGTATCATAATGAGACTGGGTGGGGAGCTAGGGGGTTGTATTTGTTGTAGTTGTGTTCGACTCTGCGACCCCATGGACTGCAGCACGCCAGGCTTCCCTGACCTTCATTATCTCCCTGAGTTTGCTCAGACTCATGCCCATTGAGTCAGTGATGCCATCCAACCATCTCATCCTCTGTCATCCCCTTCCTTTTACCCTCAGTCTTTCCCAGCATCAGGGTCTTTCCCTCTTTGCATCGGGTAGCCAAAGTATTGGCGATTCAGCTCAGCACCAGTCTTCCCAATGAATATTCAGGACTGATTTCCTTTAAGATTGACTGGTTTGATCTCCTTGCTGTCCAGGGGACTCTCATGAGTCTTTTCCAACACCACATTTCGAAAGCATCAATTCTCTGGCACTCGGCCTTCTTTATGGTGAGAGGTGGGTGTAGGGAAATCCATTGAATGCTTTTTAGCACCAGAAAAATTGTCCTCATATTTGATTTTGAGGAACCTAGAAACTCTAAATCTAGGAAACTGGTTTGAAGTTGATCATAACCTTAGAAGCTGAAGTGTGGTAGTGTAGTTTGAATTGACAAGAAGGTACAGATGAGAAAGACATTTTGAAGGTGGAGTCAACAGGATTTACCAAATGCAGCTGTATAAGGCAAGAGGGATGTGAAAATGCCCTGAAGTTTGGGTTTGAGGTACTAGGAAACTGGTGGTGCACTGAGAGAAATAGGAAATTCAGGACATACACAGAAGAAGAAATGAAAAAGCAGTGGGTGTGAACATACTGATTTCCTTTGTTCCTGAGTTCCTGCTAGTTCAGATTAGCTACCAGCTGTAGTAAATTCAGAAGTGAATAGAAATTCATAGTCCCTATTGTTCTGCTTTGCAGTTGCTTTTCCTCTAATAGGGGCTTCCTTGGTAGCTCGGATCTTAAAGAATCTGCCTGCAATGCAGGAGACCTAAGTTCAGTCCTCCAAGTTGGGAAGATCCGTTGAGAAGGGAGTGGCTACCCACTCTAGTAGCTCAACTGGTAAAGAATCCGCCTGTAATGCAGGAGACCTGGGTTCGATCCCTAGGTTGGGAAGATCCCCTGGAGAAGGGAATAGCTACCCACTTCAGTATTCTTGCCTGGAGAATTCATTACTGCGCACACAGCCCTTCCCGCCAAAGCTCCTCCTTCAGGAGATGCTCAGCAGTCCACAGTCTGCTCTGTTAACCAGGGCATTGGCAAGGAAAAGCGGGGCAGGAGGAAAATGACTCAAAGCTGTTACTTAGGATCCTTGAATCCCTTTGTTTGGGTTCATCTCCCAACTTCAGCACTTACTGGATGTGTAAATTTGGACAAGTTATTTAATTTCTCTAAGGTACAGTTTCCTCATCTGAAAAATGTGGCTAAAATTCAAACCTCAGATTGAGGGTTGGATAATACAGTTTGCAAAATATTTACACCGTATCCAGTATGTGGTAAATATTCTATAATATTACTTGCTCCTCTTATGACTATTACCATATTCACTGAATAATATAACAACTACTAGTAGTATCATAGTATAATACTATAGAGCATATAGTATTAATAGAAGATGCTTACATCCTAATTTGAAGAAGTTTAGAGAAAATAAAATCTAAGTATCTGTCTGAGGAGGAGAGAGGCCATCTTCTTGAAACCCTAATGCAGGCTGATGAAGATTCTAAATGTTAGAGTTGTTTTTTCTTCACACCAGCTCAGCCCTTTAACCCTGCTGTCACCCTGTCCTGTGCTACCTGCAACGTGATCTGCTCCATCCTCTTCAATGAACGTTTCCACTACAACGATAAGACCTTTCTCTCCCTGCTGGATTCATTAAATAAAAATTTCAATCGAGTAAGCTGTCTCTGGAACCAGGTAAGGCCAAGTCTTCATTCACCCTTGCACTTGACCTGTTGGGCACACTGGGAGCCCACAAGCGGGGTAAAGAGCTGCAAGCTGCCCACATTGCCCCATGAGCATGTGCCAAGGCAAGTGCTGTCCCCTTCCCTCCATGTGTGTCTTATGTCAAGTGGATTAGTACCGTGTCACTTACACCAGCACCTGTGAAGGCTGCCTTCTGCTCGCTTCTGTTAGGTGATTCCCACAAAAGAGGATGTCATGTTCCCAGTTCCCTGCCTTTCTTTTAAGGCTCCTGTGCACATTCTCCCCCTCTCTTACTCTGAGGTTGGCAGAGAGTGGTTGAGCAGGAGATGAGAAGGGGCGACTCTCGTGTATGTGACGGTCATCCTCCCTTCTCTTTAGCTTGAAAGTTGGAGGAAAGGATTCTCCCTGGCCAGACCCTGCCCAGAGTTCGGTGCTCCACTTAGAAACCCTGGTGTCTCTTCAGTGGATTTTTTGTTCTCATTTTAGATTTATAATCTATGGCCAAAACTCATAAAGCCTCTCCCTGGAGAGCACAGAGCATTTTCAAAAAGGCTTAAGGATGTTCACTACTTTGTTCTGGAAAAAGTGAAGGAGCATCAAAAGTCCCTGGATCATAATAACACTCGAGACTACATTGACTGTTTCCTCAGCAGGATGGAGCAGGTATTGTATGTGACATATTTCCCTGATACTATATTTTATCAGTCCATGGGAATGTAGGAAAGCATAATCACACCATGTAGGTAATTCTTGATATTTTGATATCTTGTGGCAATGGGGTATGCTATTAACAATAGTAGAAATTTTTCATGGTGCAGAAATTTTAAAAGAGCAAAGGCCCTCTTCTTCCTTTGTATTTCTTTTTTTTTCTTTTTAAAATTTATTTATTTTAAATGAAACAAAGATATATATTTTTAACAATGAAGGTACAATTCAAAAAGAAGATAGACATCATAAACTTTTAGACAACTTAACAACAAAGAAACAAAATTACATAAAGCAAAAATCAGAAGAAATATAAGGGAAAAGAAAAACATATACAATCATAGTGAGAAATATTAACATTTCTCTGAGAATATTTTATCAAGTGCAGAAAAAATCAGAATAGAAGCATCTTGAATGATGTCATTAATAATTTAAATGTAATAAATTTGTGTTTAATTAATTTATATTAATCATATACCACACGAATATATTTAAAATGTTGTATTTCATATGTTGTTATTAGATGTCCATAGGACATTTATAAAAACTGGCAATAAGATAAACATTACTAAATTTCAAAAAGTAGAATTCTTTTTTGTGTGTGTGATTCAGTTATACATATACATATATATTATTTTTGAAGATATTTCCCATTATAGGTTATTTCAAGATATTGACTATAGTTCCCTGTACTATACATAAACCTTTGTTGCTTGTTGCATATCTATTTTTCTAAATTATAAAGCTAGTATTCTATTCATACTAAGTCAAACAAGTGGAATCAAAATGTCATAAATTTTTTAGTTGGACAAAAACTCATAAGTTTTCTAAAAAATATATATTATACATATTATTTCCCTTTATTTCTATTAACTTCCTGTACTTAGACACTAGCATTTAATGAAATCTTCTCAGTATATATTTATGATGAGCTACATATATGTGTATATATGCATGTTTCTGAGCATATATTTATCTTAATGTGGCTAAAAGACACACACATCTTCTTTACACACCCATAGTCTGCCATTGTTTGCCATGATGTTTCCCAGGTAGTATGTCACAGACCAACACATTATAAAAACTGGATTGTGTTTTCCCATGGAACAATTTTGTTATTTGAAGCTAACGATGGATAAGAGATTCAAAAAAATACATTATAATTAACCATCGGTGGTCTTAAACATATTGAATAGCAATTATCACACAGCCACCAGCTCTTAGAACATCACTGGCATAAGATACCAGCATCAATGTCCATGAGAACATCAGTAGGAAAACAGTCAAAACTGTGACAAGCTATTGTTATAGACTGCAAAAGGATATTCAGTGCTCATACTGGCAGCACGTACACTGAAATTGAATGATATAGAGAAGGTTAGCATGGTCCCTGTACAAGGATGACACACAAATTTGTGAAGTGTTCCGTATTTTTGTTAAGTGCACAAGACTTTTACCAATATAATTTCAATTTTTGTATTTCTGAAAAATATATATATATATATACATATGTAACAACTTAAAATCTGAAAATAATTCCTTGAGCCCTGTAAAATTAACCTTGTTTATGCAAAGTTGGGCTTCCCCAGTAAAGCGTTATTTCAGACAGTAAAGAATCTGCCTGCAAAGCAGGCAAGCCCAGGTTAGATCTCTGGGTTGGGAAGATCCCTTGGAGGAGGGAATGGCTGCTCACTCCAGTATTCTTGCCTGGAGAATTCCATGGACAGAGGAATGTGGCAGGCTACAGGCCACAGGATTGCAAAGAGTTGGACACAACTGAGGAACTAAGACTTTGACTTTCATGCCAAAATCCCCCAAATATACATAAATAAGCAAAAGAAAAACACTGTGCAATTATATCATAAGTGTACAAGTTATAGCAAACAGTAAATAATAACCTGTTTAGTCTTCTTAATCTCTGGGAGGGCTGATTTAGACAGCTTGGTTTCCTTAGAAGACATGCTGAAGGAAGGCATGATGATGCTCTCTTTCCTTCTCAGAAATTTCCCTGGAGTTAGCAGAGACATTCAAGCTCACTCCACTTATCAACAATGTGCATTGAAATATCCTCTTCATTCTGATGGAAAAGTTTGTTGTTGGCCCTCAGAGGACTAGATGTTTATCTGGGAAAGAGAAAAAAAATAGTTAGGTTTTTAATTCAGTCATTTAAAAATTTTCCTTCATACCAACTCTCTATCAGTCCGTGGTGGTTGGTAAAAGGAGTAAAATGATGAATCAAATACTACCCTGAAATTTTCTTTCATAGCACTTATCATACTTTAACAAAATATTTAATTGACCTCTATATTCTTCACTACAGTACTCTAAAGGGCTGGGCTAGTATCGATTTCCCATGCTTTGTATCACTGGTCTGAAGGAAACAGACCAGTTCCAAACCAGTGATTTCTCTACACTGTGCTCACATTGACTTTATCATCTAGTCTTTTTCATGAAATATAATAAAAGAAGATTCCGTTAACTGAGTGTTACCAGGTTATTATGAAGTTGAGTAAAGAGGTAAGGTAACTTGTCAAGGGCATATATCTGATCATTGACTAACCTGGAATTTGAACCAGAAGTTTCAATTTCATGACTGATTTTTAAAAATCTACTACCTTACCAAGCACAAAATGAAGCCTATTACTAGTGATGGGGTGTGATCATGGAGCTCTGATAAGCTATTGCCTTCTTTTTTACTCTGCCATCTACAGGAGAAAGAGAACCCAGAGTCTGAATTTCACTTGGAAAACTTAGCAACCTGTGGATCAAATCTGTTTTCAGCAGGAGTAGAGACAACCACTGCCACCCTGAGCTATGCGTTCCTGCTCCTAATGAAATACCCTGAGGTTCAAGGTACAGCAAATATCCTAAGTATTTATTTAGGATAAAATAGGAGCTCCTGGAACTGGTGAAGGTAGGAAGGTACTACTGTCTGTGACAACTTCTCTTTCACTGGACAGCCTTGGCGAGCATCATGTATAGGGCCATCCATGTGGTTTGGTTTTACAGATCAAAATTCTATCAAATGATGTTGATAAGCAAGAGAGACCTTTACGAATCAAAGACTTTTTAAGTTTAAAAGCAGAGGAGCTTCTGAACCCCAGCTCTTCTATATATGATATAATGTTGCAGAGTCAGCCCAATTTAGATGAGGGATGCATGGGTTCCCATGTTGGTTTCTCATTCTCAGCCGCCAATACCTGACTGTGTGACCTCAAACAAGTTATTTCACTTCATAGGCCTTTGTTTTTTCCATCTTGAAAATGGATCAGTCTCCCCAAAGGGGATTTTTAGCTCCAATATATTTTAAAATTCAAAAATGAAATGGTACTAGCTTGATTTTCTCAATCATATTCTCAGGGCACAGGTCTTAGAAAGCCAGTATTTTGTTCAACAAAATGGTGTTTGCTGTTCCCACAAAATGTTAGTAGGCTGGATGAGACTGACAGAGGAGATGCTCCCACTAGAGTGAGGATTAAACATTTCCCCTCTGCAGCTGCTCTGCCAGGAATCTGGGGTAAATCTTAATCCCTGCACAGAGGTCATCTTCTCACCTGTACGGGAGGACAAACCAGTTCAGGCAGGAGGCCAAGGACATACCTAATGCAGCTTTTATCTTTCCTGAAGTGAAATCTCTGGTCTTTGCAGCAATATAGAAAACAGAAATTCTATGGCTGCTATGAAAAAGTCTACAAACAATAAATGCTGGAGAGGATGCAGAGAAAAGGGAAACCTCTTANACCAGTCCAGGTTTGATGCATGAGACAGGGTGATCAGGGCCGGAGCACTGGGATGACCCTGAGGGATGGGATGGGGAGGGAGGTGGGAGCGAGGTTCAGGATGGAGAACACATGTTCACCCATGGCTGATTCATGTCAATGTATGGCAAAAACCACTACAATATTGTAAAGTAATTAGCCTCCAATTAAAATGAATTAATTAATTTAAAAAATAACATTTTAAGAATAAAGATTTTATACTGAAATTTAAAAAAAAAAGAAATTCTATGAGGAACAGAGTTATGGGTTGTTTAGCAACATATCTTTGACCTTGGGAGCCTTTTCCAGGCCACTTTCTTTCCACATTGTAAGCATTTCCAAGTATCCAGGGAACACATCTCTTAAGTAGGATTCATGATTCATGTCTCTGCAGCCAAAGTTCATGAAGAAATTGACCATGTGATTGGACGCACCCGAAGTCCCTGCATGAAGGACAAGATGAAGCTGCCCTATACAGAGGCTGTGTTGCATGAGATACAAAGATACATCACCCTCATTCCTTCTAACTTAGCCCATGCTGTGGTCCGGGACACGAAATTCAGACAATATGTCATCCCCAAGGTTAGAGGTGGCTGGGAAAGCTGGCTGAGATAGAAGATGCAACATGGTACCATTCCACCCCATGGTAGATGGGGCCTGTTAGAGGCATCGTAGCTGTTTCAGGAAGAGAGGCAGCTGAGAGACATGGAAAGAACACAAGTCCTGAGTTACATGGCCTGGATTTAAAATCCATCACTGCTATGCAGTGTACTCTCAGGCCATTGTGTCACCTCTGTGGTTCTGCCCCTGCCTTCCTGGAATGGGGAAGCTAACCCAGGGCTTCCACGGATCCTCACACTCTCATGTATAATAGTATATATTAAGGAGAAGTGATTGGCATTAGTATGAATCTTGTGGAAACAGAAATCTGATTTTCCATGATAGATTTTAAAAAGGGGGAAGAGATGGACAGTGTATCTGCAGCTCTAAGGTAATCAAGTGTCACTTTCTTTAAACCAATTCTCTCCTCCCAAGATCTCATGTACCAGGACATTTGGGACATTGCTGCCCATAATAATTAACAATGATCAAAACATTCACATGCACACTGGAGATGTAGTCAGTCTTCTGTAGTGATTAAAGGATTGGGTTTTACATTTGAGAGTGTAGAAGAGGAAGAAAAGGTGTCAAACCTGACCAGACTACTGCAAAACTGAAACAGCCCCCAACCTTACTGCCAAATCCCAGTGCAAAAGTCTATTAACACATAAGTCTAGTATCACATTGAAAATGCTATACCATCAGCAAGTGACGGTAATCAGGAACACAGGATGGTCTAACACCAGAAAATTTGGTTTAATAAAATTCACCATAGAAATAGAATTTAAAGAAAAACCACATGGTAATCTCATTTATACAGAAAGTGCTTTTGATAATATTAAAGAGTTTCTGTTCTGTTAGTTGCTTGGTCATGTCTGACTCTTTGTGACTCCACCAGGCTCCCCTGTCCGCAGAATTTCCTAGGCAAGAATACTGGAGTGGGTTGCCATTTCCTTCACCAGGGGATCTTCCAGACCCAGGGATTGAACCTGGGTTTCCTGCACTGCAGGCAGATTCTTTACCATCTGAACCACCAGGGAAGCCCCACCTATAATAAAATAGGAATAAATTTCTGATAGTAGTGATTACATTAAGAAGGAAACCAAGGGGGGGGGGGGAAGAAGGAAACCAAGGAACTTGAGTATAGGAAAAAGAAACTTATTTTCACTTTGAATTTTTTTTTTATATCATGTACATGTATTACCTACTCCAAAAATTGTGAAATAATGTTTCAGGAAATAAAAAATGAAGTAAAAATGGAAAGAGGAGGCTTTCACTTAAATAGGGGTGCTTTATGATCAGATAGAAGTTGGGTCAAATTCTAATCATGCCACTTACTAATAACCTCAAGTAAATGGTTTCTTCTCTCTGAATCTCAACTTCTGCATTTATACAATGAGCCAAAAAAACAAGATCCTAGTGAATATGGTTGAAGTAAGGATTCAATGAGATTTATAAACAATTAAACACAATGTCAGGTAAATGTGAAGCATCCTGTATCAGTGGTCATTATCATTTTGTCATTTAAACCTCACAGGGTCTAATGGGGCAAAGAGGAAAGTGTATGGTAGCTCAGACAGTAAAGAATCTGCCTGCAATGCAGGAGACCCAGGTTTGATCCCTTGGTTGGGAAGATCCCCTGGAGAAAGGAATGGCAACCCTCTCCAGTATTCTTGCCTGAAAAATTCCATGGACAGAGGAATCAGGCTGGCTACAGTTCAGTTCATGGGGTTGCAAAGAGCTGGACATGACTGAGTGACAAACATACACACATGCACGCCATTTTAGAAGTGAGGAGGTGGGATTTGAGCCAATAGATTTTGTAGATTACAAGGCACTATATCTTATTTTCTTACATTCACACCTGAATTCAGAAAGAAAAAAATTGTGAAAAGTGAACTCTTCCAATCTGAGGTGGCAGTTCTAATAAGGCACATGTCTAAACAATATGAGCTGCAAATCTTAGTTTGTTAACAATTGTTTATTGCACATTGACTGTATCAGTTCTCTTCCCCCAGAGAACCATCTTATTATTCGATAAAAGGTATTGTATGATAGTGGGTGTGAAAAAACTCTCACACAAGACAGAAAGCCCTCACACAAGCTTTAAGAGTGCTCGGTCCTGTTTAATCCACTATAATTAAAAGTGTTAGGCTTTTTATGAACTAAAGATAAGTATGATAGCATGCCATTCCACTCTTTCTTTCTTGGTTCCAGGGTACTGTTGTATTGCCGTTACTGTCTTCCATCTTGTACGACTGCAAGGAGTTTCCTAACCCAGAGAAGTTTGACCCAGGCCATTTTTTGGATAAAAATGGCAGCTTCAGGAAAACAAAATACTTCGTGGCTTTTTCCATTGGTAAATATAAATACACACCATCCAAACCATACACATGAACCTTTTGAACAACTTTTAGCTTTGCTGAATGTACGTAAGTAGTCCACTAATGATCACAAAGTTAATCAAATCAATCTGCTATAACCCTCTAAATCAAGATGGAGCCATTTAAGTCTGTATACCAATAGGATCAGATAAGTCTTTCAAGGACTATTTTGTTATCTGGTGACTAAGTACAATACCAATTTTTTAAAAAATCAAGGCAAACCAATTCAATTCAGATGTCACACATTATCAGATAACAAAGAGACCTCCTTTTGTAGACTCTTACCTGTTGATCTCCCTTTTGTAATATACGAGGTTTCTAAAACAGAATGTTCAGGTTTCTTTCTTCTTTTAAAATGATTAAACATTATTGTATTAATTTACTGATTCTTACAGCCAGAGGCCATCAGAGGGACTTTGGTCATTTCATTCTCTTCCTTCCCCTCTGAAATCTAGAGCCCCACATACCCTTGCCTCTTTGCAAGAGCTGATTGGCTCCCAGTTGCTATTTCTCATAAGGTCATAAAGACAACTTAAGATCACTCAGCACATATTTTTTTTCTTTGTTATCCTAGTCAATTATTTGATTAGTATTTTCAAAAATAACAGTTTATATGTTTTTAAAAGATAGCCTGTGGTATTAAATAATCTTCCATACAAACATGTTTAGGTGGCATTGCATGATAGTTGCACAACGACTTATTGAATTAATCTAACATAGGTGTATGTCTAGTTTTCATCTACCTCATCAGCGTCATAAATAATAATGCAAGTGACATCCTCATTGGTGAATCTGTAGTTCCTACAGATAAATCCCCAGGAGAACTACTGAATTAAGATTATAAATCTCTTTAGAGAAATTATGGTTTGTTAGAGGAACTGTACCAGTTGATCAGCGAATTTGGAAAACTCAGCAGTGGCCACAGGACTGGGAAAGGTCAGTTTTCATTCCAATCCCAAGGAAAGGCAATACCAAAGAATGCTCAAACTACCACACAATTGCACTCATCTCACACACTAGTAAAGTAATGCTCAAAATTCTCCAAGCCAGGCTTCAGCAATACATGAACCATGAACTTCCAAATGTTCAAGCTGGTTTTAGAAAAGGCACAGAAACCAGAGATCAAATTGCCAACATCTGCTGGATCATCAAGAAAGCAAGAGAGTTCCAGAAAGACATATATTTCTGCTTTCTTGACTATGCCAAAGCCTTTGACTGTGTGGATCACAATAAACTGTGGAAAATTCTGAAAGAGATGGGAATACCCAGACCACCTGACCTGCCTCTTGAGAAACCTATATGCAGGTCAGGAAGCAACAGTTAGAACTGGACATGGAACAACAGACTGGTTCCAAATAGGAAAAGGAGTACGTCAAGGCTGTATATTGTCACCCTGCTTATTTAACTTATATGCAGAGTACATCATGAGAAATGCTGGGCTGGAAGAAGCACAAGCTGGAATCAAGATTGCCGGGAGAAATATCAATAACCTCAGATATGCAGATGACACCACCCTTATGGCAGAAAGTGAAGAAGAACTAAAGAGCCTCTTGATGAAAGTGAAAGAGGAGAGTGAAAAAGTTGGCTTAAAGCTCAACATTCAGAAAACTAAGATCATGGCATCTGGTCCCATCACTTCATGGGAAATAGATGGGGAAACAGTGGAAACAGTGTCAGACTTTATTTTTGGGGGCTCCAAAATCACTGCAGATGGTGATTGCAGCCATGAAATTAAAAGACGCTTACTCCTTGGAAGGAAAGTTATGACCAACCTAGACAGCATATTAAAAAGCAGAGACATTACTTTGCCAACAAAGGTCCGTCTAGTCAAGGCTATGGTTTTTCCAGTGGTCATGTATGGATGTGAGAGTTGGACTATAAAGAAAGCTGAGCACCGAAGAATTGATGCTTTTGAACTGTGGTGTTGGAGAAGACTCTTGAGAGTCCCTTGGACTGCAAGGAGATCCAACCAGTCCATCCTAAAGGAGATCAATCCTGGGCGTTCTTTGGAAGGACTGATGTTGAAGCTGAAACTCCAATACTTTGCCCACCTGATGTGAAGAGTTGACTCGTTTGAAAAGACCCTGATGCTGGGAAAGATTGAGGGCAGGAGGAGAAGGCGACGACAGAGTATGAGATGATTGGATGGCATCACTGACTCAATGGACGTGGGTTTGGGTGGACTCCGGGAGTTGGTGATGGACAGGGAGGCCTGGCGTGCTGTGGTTCAAGGGGTCGCAAAGAGTCAGACACGACTGAGCAACTGAACTGAACTGAACTGAACCAGTTGATCGTCCTATAGCTGCTTCTGAGCTGTCCCTTTTCTGACCAGTGTTTTCAGTGGCTGTTAGGAGTATGTAGTGTTCGAATACAGGCTATTGTAGTATTTAATTGTGGAACAAGCTAATGGAACTGTCTCCTCCTTTTAGGGAAACGGGCCTGTATTGGAGAGGGCCTGGCCCAAATGGAGCTGTTCCTGTTCTTAACCACCATTCTGCAAAATTTTGTCCTGAAACCCCTGGGTGAGACAAAGGACATAGAGACCAAACCTGTTGTTACCGGACTGATCAACATGCCACCACCCTTCAAGCTATGCCTTATCCCCAGATGAAAGAAGAGCTTTTCTCTTTTAACAATTTAAATAAAAGTAATAGCTTTTTCTTCTCACTACTTCTCCCACCCCAATAGTCTCTTTTCATTTTAAATTCTGCCTAGGACAGAAACATGGGCTTCCCTCATAGCTCAGTTGGTAAAGAATCTGCCTGTACTGCAGTACAGAAACACTGCTCACTAAAAGCTTGATGGACATTTGTTTAAATCTATAAATTCCTTGAAATAAGGAGCTGGATCCTGAAAACTCCAGGGGTAAAATAATATCTTATACCCTATAGAATACTTTATAAACCATGATCCAGCCAAACCAAGCCCAGGCCCACAGAAGGCCTTTATCAGCAAATATTGGAGCCTTCACTTTTTCTGTGCCTTTGGAGATAGGCTGATATTCTATAATTTTCGAAATAGAGAATATAATGGTCAATGTGTATTTTTTCCATTTCCCATTGAAAGCACTTAGATGATTTCTGCCACATTCACAAAATAAATCCTTTCTTTCCACAGCAGGTTTTCAGTGAATGTTTGACTTTATTTCAAGCGTCAGATATCCCTTTCCTTGAGTTATGGACACTCTACAATTAGAATAAGATAAACAGATGAAATTATAACACCCATCACAAATCTCTCCCTGCCCCACCTCATCTATTTGCAGCCATTGCTTTACATGGAGACCCAAGAAGCCACCTTGGATAAAAGTCAACCATGTGCATAGGTAGGATTCAGACATGTATAGCTGCATCTTCTTCAGAAAGTGATGAGGGGCAGGACTGGGGTTTTGAGAGCAAGAGGGTAAATTGCAAGAAAAGACTGTTATTGCCAAAAGAATAGTGACACAGACGAGAATGGCTAGAACAACTGCCCAGTGGGGGCCTAGTGGAGTGCTGTGAGCAGCAGCTGCCACAGAAGGATGGTTCAAATGTCAAGAGGCAGCCCAGACTCCAGGACATTGGGAGGGAAAGAAGCTTTTAAAGTAGAACTGAGTTTCTGGGCATATACTCAAAAGAATTGATTCTTTTGAGTTCTCCAACAGATATTTGCACACCCATGTCCCTAGTAGCATTATTCACAATGGCCAAAAAAGGTGGAAACAACCCAAATGTCCACTGGCAGAAGAGTAGATAAACAAAGCATCTGTTCTTCGGTGCTCAGCTTTCTTTATGGTCCAACTTTATATCCATACATGACTACTGGAAAAACCATAGCTTTGACTAGACGGGCCTTTGTCAGCAAAGTTATGCCTCTGTTCTTTAATATGCTGTCTAGGTTGGTCACAGCTTTTCTTCTGAGGAACGAGTGTCTTTTAGTTTCATGGCTGCAATCACCATCTCCAGTGATTCTGGAGCTACAAAGTGTGGTTATATACATACAATAGAGTATTATTCGGCCTTTAAAAAGGACTTATAGTTTAACTGAATTCTAGCTGAGCTATTTCAAATCCTAAAATATTATGCTGTTAAAGTTCTGCACTTGAATTTGAATGCCAGCAAATCTGGAAAACTCAGCAGTGTCCACAGGACTGGAAAAGGTCAGTTTTCATTCCTATTCCAAAGAAAGGCAATGCCAAAGAATGTTCAAACTACCACACAATCGCACTCTTCTCACACACTAGCAAAGTAATGCTCAAAATTCTCCAAGCTAGGCTTCAACAGTACATGAACCAAGAGCTTCCATGTTCAAGCTGGATTTAGAAAAGGCAGAGGAACCAGAGATCAAATTGCCAACATCCACTGGATCATGGACAAAGCAAGAAAATTCCAGAAAAGCATCTACTTATGCTTCATTGACTACACTAAAGCCTTTGACTGTGTGGATCACAACAAACTGTGGAAAATTCTGAAAGAGATGGGAATACCATACCACCTGACCTGCCTCCTGAGAAATCGCTATGCAGGTCAGGAAGCAACAGCTAATTTTAACATAAAACTGTTAACATAAAACAATGAACTGGTTCAAAATTGGGAAAGGAGTACGGCAAGGCTGTATACTGTCACCCTGCTCATTTGACTTATATGCAGAGTACATCATGTGAAATTCCGGGCTTGGATGAAGCATAAGTTGGAATCAAGACTGCTGGGAGAAACATCTATAACCTCAGAAATGCAGATGACACCACCTTTATGGCAGAAAGCGAAGAGGAACTAAAGAGCCTCTTGATGAAAGTGAAAGAGGAGAGTGAAAAAACTGGCTTAAAGCTGAACATTCAAAAACTGAAGATCATGGCATCTGGTCCCATCACTTCATGGCAAATAGATGGGGAAACAATGGAAACAGGACAGACTTTATTTTCTTGGGCTCCAGAATCAATGGAGATGGTGATTGCAGCCATGAAACTAAAAGACACTTGCTCCTCAGAAGAAAAGCTGTGACCAACCTAGACAGCATATTAAAGAACAGAAGCATAACTTTGCTGACAAAGGCTCGTCTAGTCAAAGCTATGGTTTTTCCAGTAGTCATGTATGGATATAAAGTTGGACCATAAAGAAAGCTGAGCACTGAAGAACAGATGCTTTTGAACTGTGGTGTTGGAGAAGACTCTTGAGAGTCCCTTGGACTGCAAGGAGATCAAACCAGTCAATCCTAAAGAAAATCAGTCCTGAATATTCATCAGAAGGACTGATGCTGAAGTTGAAACTCCAATACTTTGGCCACCTGATGTGAAGAACTGACTCATTGGAAAAGACCCTGATGCTGGGAAAGATTGAGGGCAGGAGGAGAAGGGCACGACAGAGGATGAGATGATTGGATGGCATCAGTCACTCAATGGACATGAGTTTGAGTGAGCTCCAGGAGTTCATGATGGACAGGGAAGCCTGGCATGCTGCAGTCCATGGAGCTGTAAAGAGTCAGACACAACTAAGTGACTGAACTGAACTAAAAGTACTGAGGTCTGAGATATACTGGGGAAATCTGAGAGACAATGGCTGCAGCTAATTTGGAATGGCATATGCTTCTCAGAATTCCTAAGGTCAAAGGATGTGTGGCTGCTTGCCACAGATGAGATGTTAACCTAGGAGAGAGTAAGATCTTAAAGGGGTTCCACCCAACAGAACGGCAGGTAGTTTTGGGTTGTGGGCATGGTTGGCCCATCATATGTTAACCAAGTTAGGTCATAAATATCTCATATAAGTCAGCAAAGAAAGACTACCCAATTTAAAGAGGAGCAAAGGATTTGAATAAACACTTCTCCAAATAAGTTATACTAATGGCCAATAAACACATGAAAAGATTCTCAATATCACTAGTCACCAGAGAAATGCAAATCAAAACCACATTGACATACCATTTCACATCTACTAGTAAGGTGAAATTAAAAAGATAATAAGTATTTTCAAGAACACGGAGAAGTTGAAATCTTCATATATTTCCGATGTGAATGTAAAATGGTGCAGCCATATTGGAAAATTATTTGGCAGTTCCTCAAAATATTAAGCATAATGTTACCATATGAACCAGTACTATTACCTAAGTATCTATCCAAGAGAAATGAAAATATATATAAATGCAAAAACTTGCACAAGAATGTTCATAGAATGATTCATAATAATTAAGAAGTGGAAACAACCCAAATGCCCATCAGCTGATGAATGGATAAACAAAAGGTGTTATATCCATACAAAGGAATATTTTCTGGCCATAAAAAAGGAATGAAGTACACAACGACAGCATGGATGAACCTTGAAAGCAGGCAGACACAAACGACCACATACTGTATGATTCCATTTATATGAATTGTCCGCAACAGGCAAATCCACAGAGACAGAAAGTAGATGGTGATTGCTTAGGGCTGAAAAATGACTGCAAATGGGCATGGAGTTTCCTTGGAATCTGATGAAAATATTCTGAAGTTAAATTGCAGTGATGGTTGCAAAAACTCTGTAATTACACTGAACTGCATACTTAAATGGGTGAATTTTATAGTGTGTAAATTTATCTCAATAAAGCTGAGGAGGATGTTGCTGATTTTTGTTTTCGACTGTGCTGCTCAGCTTGTGGGATCTTAGTTCCCCTCAGTTCAGTTCAGTAGACAGTATTCTTGCTTGGAGAATTCCATGGAGGTTGCAAAGAGTTGGAAATGACTGAACGACTGACACTTTGACTTTCACTTCTTTATGGTGCATAAATGTCTTCTATAACCTACCTAGGGCATGCAACAGCCAAAACTCAGGTTCAAGGCAATATTGTGGGTCGAGGCAAGCTAGGACATAAGTATCGAATTAGACCAGGCTAGTAAGGGGAAAGGGAACATCCTAGTATCACGCACAACCAGAAGTGGAGGCCACGGGGCCACTTATGGGGAGTCAACAATCCAATGGAGCTTGATAAACTCAAGCTACATTGAGACTAATGTAGGAAGAAGAGACAGGAGAGAAGGATTCAAGTTCATCCATAGGGTGCTGTTTTATTAGTATTTCTACAAATTTAAAATCACAGCAGGAAATGTTTAGGACAAAATGTCTTTAGCCTTAGTGATAGCAAATCTTAAGTCTCAAAGGCCTTTACATAATTGGCACAAAAGGCTATAATATATTGGGTGGTCAGTTCTAGCTAGCACTGAACTTTCGGTGAAGCTGAACTTAACTTCATATTTATGGTTATTCAGGATGAAATAACCTCATGAATTTCCATTCTCAGGGACTTTATAAACCAAACCCAAAAAGTTTTGCTCAAGACTCTCTTTCTTATTTATCTTCTTCACTAGTTTCAAACACAAAACAAGTATGTTTCCTCAATGATGATGCAATTACTCAAACAAAAAAAAATTTTTTTTAATTTTTATTTATTTATTATTTTTGACTGCTCTAGGTCTTCATTACTGTATACAGGCTTTCTCGAGCTGCGGTGATACTGTTTTGTTGCAGTGCCTGGACTTTTCATTGTGATGACTTCTCTTGTTGCGGAGCATGGGCTTTAGGCCCATGGGCTTCAGTAGTTACAGCATGTGTGTTCTACAGCATGAGTTCAGTAGTTGTGGCACACAGGCTTAGTTGCTCCAAGGCATGTGGGATCTTCCAGGTCCAGGGATCAAACTCGTGTCCCCTGCATTGACAGGTGGACTCTTAATAACTGGACCATCATTGAAGTCCAAAACAATTTTTTTTGGTCTTCAGTCAGTTCAGTCTCTCAGTTGTGTCTGACTCTTTGAGACCCCATGAACTGCAGCACGCCAGGCCTCCCTGTCCATCACCAACTCCCGGAGTCCACCCAAACCCATGTCCATTGAGTCGGTGATACCATCCAACCATCTCATCCTCTGTCGTCGCCTTCTCCTCCTGCCCTCAATCTTTCCCAGCATCAGGGTCTTTTCAAATGAGTCAGCTCTTTGCATCAGGTGGGCAAAGTATTGGAGTTTCAGCTTCAACATCAGTCCTTCCAATGAACACCCAGGATTGATCTCCTTTAGGATGGACTGGTTGGATCTCCTTTTTGGTCTTAGGTAACAACTATTTTATCTTTAGGGTCAGTTCTTGATTCAGGAGGGAACATAGGATGAAATTAAGGTAATAGG